GGGAAACTAGCTCTCCTCTATGAATGTTACATGAGGACTAGTTAATAGTGAGGTTTGTTTGTGCTGGGGGAAGAAGATCTTCCAATTTGCCAGCTCTGAACACATTTTTCTCCTTAGACCCAAACCATAGACTCCATCCCCAGTACTGCAATCACTAACACAATAACACCACAAAGACTTCACCATGCTACACCAAAGCCTGCACCAATGAAAGGTTCTTTAATGAGCAGTGCAGCATACAGGGAGAGTCATGGAAAACTCTTGTTTGGGACCTAGAACGACATAGCTTTGCATGCTTCCCCAAGCCCCAAGTAGAATGGGGTTGATTCCTGGCCCACAGTTCCATCAGACCCCAGTGCAATGAGCAGGAGAATCCTGCACACCACTGTCTCGGGGCTCATTACGATTTCCACTGGAGCATCTCTTCTGCAAGATGATGCTGTCCTCACTGCGGTTGAAGCCCAGAGCTCCACTGCTGTCTCCTCTCTCTCTCTTAACAAGCAGGAGGATAAGAAGAGGGGGGAAAATACTGCAGTCTCTTAGCAAGTTATCTGACACATTTCTAAAATATAAGTGAAACCTCATTACATGGATGAGCAGCTTTCCATCAGTTCAGCCCTGGCTCTGATATGAATGTAATTGTGGTGAGCTGCAGAGTGGACAGGAAGGCCGGCATCAGGGTTAGGCGAAAGGAATGGTGGAAGGCAAACAGTGGTGCCTGGGAGGTGGTGTGTGTGTGTGTGTGTGTGTGTGTGTGCATTATTGTGTAGGTGTGATTGTGTGAATATGGACCTGCCATTAATGCTGCATTGATTCACCATGAAGAGTTCATCGACATTGTTCTGTTCCCTCCACCCTGACATTCTTCCCTCTCTCCTTTTAGACCCTGTGTCCTCTCGGAGCTCACATTGATTACTAGTCATGAAAGCCTTCTTACTCCATCCCTAGCCTCTGTCCCCTGTTTCTCCAGCTCCTATGAATCCTGTATGCATTTACTACATTTCTAATTCAAACCTGTATATATGCGCTTTCCCTCCCTCCCTCCCTCCCTCCTTTTCTCTCTCTTTCTTTCTGTCATTTCTCTTTTTTCTTTCTTTCTTCTTTTTCTCTTAGATAAGGTCTTGCTATGAAGCCCAGCTGATCTCGAACCCCAGCTTTGCTGAGTGCTGGGGTTTTAGGTGGACCCCTCCCCAGGACCACAGGGACAGATTTGTGGGGTTTCTTCAATCTTCTCCTATAACTTCTTTGCCTGATGGTTCTAGCACAGTCCTGAACATAGAAGAAAGCTTAGCCTGATGCATATTTACCTAACCAGGCACAGCATAAAAGCTGCTTAATTTTCTTCTATACATATATTCATACATAAACACACACATTGGTGCATATATATACCTTAAGTGGCAACCAGTTTGCATTTTATGAAGTGTTTTTTAAATTTTATGAAGTGTTTTTTATTTAAGTTTGCTAACTGATGCATACAAATGAAAACACTTGCCACGGGGTTCCATGAAATGTTTCAATTTACGTATCTGTTGTAGGATGTTTAAAGTAGACAAAACACATCTTTCTTCTCAAACATTTATCATTCTGGAGAAGTGTTTTACTGCTTTAAAAGCCCAACCTGTCAAACAGTGAACAATCTGGCAATTAGCAAGTTCTGATAAATGATTGCTAATTAAATTTTATGACACATAGAGTGGAGCCCATCTATCTTTGTGCTAAAAAGAAACTCAATATTTCTCTTTGAATTGCTGCAGATCTTTTGCACAAGGTATATATTTATTTAAGCAATTTCCAGGGGGAGTTAGTTGTAGGAATTGCAATTTGCTGAGAGATTGGACTGGGTATTTCCATGGCAAATAATTCCATTTACATTACACTCCGGCCCAGTTACATTACATGCCCTGAATAACTCAGTACAAGACTTCCAATGGCATAAAAGGTAAAAGATACAAAGAAACCATAAAGGAGACACAATATGGACCTTGAATCTCTTCAGCTTTATCACTAGCATGCTTTCTTAGGAGACTGGAGGAGAGAAAGGAGTTGTGCCACCAAATTCAGATGGGAGCTCTGGGCCAGGAAGAGAGAAGGACGATGATTTTTGTGTACTCTAATAGGACAGTAAGACCTAAATCAAATGGGGTCGAGCATTTTGAAAATTGTAGAGACCTAAACAAATGCTCATTTTTTTTTTCAGTCAGTGAACATTTGCTGGCTATATAACTGGAAAAAGTCACTAAACTGGCCAAGTCCCTGTTTTCTGTAGTATCCTTCCCCTGGGATTGCACAGGCAAATAAAGAAGATTTCGAGGGCGGTGCAGTCTGGCTGCAGAGACTTGCACTGCTTTAGCTGAGAAACACAGAAAGCCTTCCCAGGCAGGAACCCGGCCACTGGAGAGCAGCCAGCCTCATCCTGAAGAGAAGGGAATGGGACCACGTTTCAGGGCCTAAGACCGGCTTGTCAAGAGTCAAAAGGGGGCAGGGAGGAGAAGGGGCAAAGCCAGGAGAGACATGGACAGAGGCAGAGTGGTATAGGGCATTTGAACCTATAGCCCAAAGGTGGAGGGACTTGGTCAGGGTCACTGGGACCCGCTTTAGTTTGAGGAATTCCATCTCCTGGCTCCCTGACCACCGGGGTTCCGCGTTACTGAGCCTCTGACAGCTGGTGGCGTCCATGTCCAACCGCAGAGGCCCTGGAATAGAATCTGATACTGTGCTGGCGATGGCACTGTCCCTGAGAATGTTCGCCAGTGTGCTATGTCCCTCTGGAATTAGGAGGACTACGTTCCTATCATGTAGCTGTTTTATAGACCAGAAGAAAAAAAAAAAAAGCCAGATGCTGGTGGCTCAAACCTGTAACCCTAGCTACTCAGGAGTTCAGGAGGCTGAGACCTGAGGATCACAGTTCAAAGCCAGCTCAAGCAAGAAAATCTGTGAGGGGCTGGGAAGGTGGCTCAGTGGTAGAGTGCTTGCCTTGCATGCCTGAGGCCCTGGGTTCCATTCCTCAGCACCACATAAGCAAAAAGAAAAAAGCCAGAAGTGGCGCTGTGGCTCAAGTGGTAGAGCGCTAGCCTTGAGCTGAAGAGCTGAGGGACAGCGCCCAGGCCCAGAGTTCAGGCCCCACAACCGGACCCCCCCCCCAAAAAAATAAGGAACACATTCCTCTCTCTTCTCTCTCCCCTTCTCTCTTCTCTGTTTTCCTCTCTCTTCTCTCTCCTCTCCCCTCCTCTTTCCCTCCTCTCTCTCTCCCATGTTCTAATATACTGTTGCTGAATTAAGAAGCTCCATAGGTCAAATGTATTAAGTTGTATTTTTCAACTTAAGATACCTTGAATTTCCAGTGGGTTCAGTAGCATCTAACACTGTGACACACCGAGAATCATCTGCCTTGAATTAAGTTTAAATCATCATTCTTGGAGCAGAGGATGCCTGGTAAAGACATAAGGAAGCTGGAATTCAAACCCACAGACTGGGAGACAGAAGAGACTGTAGGTTTGATGAGCCAGCAAAGGGCTGACCGGCAGCGTAAGAGAAAAACAAGCAGCAAGCTGTACCCTCTGCTCCCTTAGCCACACAGCAACAGTGGGGATGAATAGGATAAAATTAGCGAAACCATTAGCATAATGATCGGCAGAATCTCCTCCTGCAGTGAGTGGGGAGGGAAGCAGAGGTTTTCTCGGCTTCTGGCGGTTCCCTCCTGTGTTCCTGCTGAGGACAAAGCAAGAGAGGCTCCCACAGGGGCTGGATTCTACAGTGAGAAGATCTCTGTGGGAAGGGAAAGAAGAAGTATGAAGGAAAAAAAAAAAGCAATGTCTGCTGATCCTAGTCCTGGGGAAGAAGATGAGCAGTTTTCCTTAGAAAGTCCTGAGATGGAGTGTTGATATTAGATCTTTAGTGGTTCGAGTCCACATTCTTCCACTTATTAATCCAGTGGCTAGGAGACAGTGGACACTCTCTAAATAGTAGAGGAGGGCCTGCTCATCACTACCAGTTATTATCCTGTGTAGCTTTTCTTTTTTTGGACTGTCGTACAGCTTGAACTCAGGGCCTGGGCGCTGTCCCTCAGCTCTTCAGCCTCAAGGCGAGCGCTCTACCCCTTGAGCCACAGCGCCACTTCTGGTTTTCTGGTGGTTTTTTCTTGGAGATCAGAGTCTCACAGACTTTCCTACCTGGGCTGGCTTTGAACCACGATCCTCAGATCTCAGCCTCCTGAGTAGCTAGGATGACAGGTGTGAGCCACCAGTACCTGGCTCCGTGTAACTCTTCCATTCTTTCAGTAGTGGACTGTCCATAGGAATACACCCAAGGCAGGAAAACAGAACAGGAAAGTCTTCTAGGGAGATGGAAACTGGGACCACAACGTATCCTTGGATGGGCAAGTTCCATCCCAGGAAGGGCAGGGCAGCCTCGAAAAGCTGAGCCCATCCCTGGTGCAGAAATTGAGGTGAGCAGAGCTGCAGTCTGCAGCCGCCCTGCGCACCTGACCTCCTTTCTGCATCAGGAAAATGTGCTGTGCCCTTTTCTGCTTGCGGTGTGACCCTGAAGGGAGGCGCCAGGCTGCACCCCCGCTGGGCGTGTGACTAGACTCCTTCGGATGACGGCAGGGATTTGCACTGCCATGAAAGTAGACGAGAAAGAGGTGTTCAAACGGTACCCAGGCTTCTGGGGTATGCTGTTCAATGGTTTGGTAGTTAGCATTTTGTGGAACAAGGAAGAACAGATTCAGGCTTTTAGAAGATTTCGATTTACAGTGAGATGACGTTGAACCCACAACCCAACACAGAGTACAATGGTGTTTGGACCTGTGACTCAGTTGGTCATGACTACTGTCATGATCTGACGTTAGGAGGTGAGGCCACTGGATCGTTTTCTCTTCTAAAGCAAATGCTTCTACCCGCCAACAGTCACCATCTGGCACCGGAGAGCCGAGCGGGTCACAGTCCGTGCCCATACCAACCGCCGGTGACAGATGCCTAAAGTTTAGGTCCCCTCTGACTTTGTGTCTGCCCCTGCATGGACTAATCTTTGCGGTGATGATGACCTGCCCCATCTCTCAAAATGTCCCACGCTCTTGCCGGCCGATCAGTGGTCCCGCAACGTGAGGTGCCCCCTAGGAAAACAATAAATTAGGGACAAAGAAAAATAAGCTCCAAGGCTATTCGGGGAAAAGGAAGGCCAGCTCTTTCCCTCTGTCACCTCCTGGTCCTGATAGTACTTTTTTTCTTTTTAATTCACCCATCATGAGCTCTAGTTCTTTCTCCCAGTGCCAGAAAAAAACAAAAACAAAAAAAAAACCAGAGCTGTTTTCAACTCTGCTGCTCCTATATTGCGTCAAATGTTCCATTCTTCTCCAGTTTCGTGGGAGATTAACCTCTCTGGTTCACACCCATATGTCTGCCAGAATCTCTCAGGAGTGTGTGACAGTACGGGACCTCGAGGTCAAGAGCAGTGGATTTATTTCTCTTAAGGTCACCCAGCCAATCAATTACGAGGTCGGCCTGAGGACTCACCAAAGCCGTGGGACTTATTTCAAGCTGGGTGCTGGTGGCTCATGCCTGCAATAAAAGAGAGACAGGGGAGGGAGAAAGAATAGTGGCATCGGCTAGACAGATATAAACTCCATAGACCGGGCCATCAGGAAGGAAGGGCAACTGGATTCTCACACACGAGCTGAAGCTACTATCCACATGGACAATTTCTTCTTAAGGCTTAGCTGAGCCTCTGCAGTCTCCCCACTGACTGCCTCGGGCCCACCCTGCTTCTGTAGCATCATCTTTAACAATTGAAAGTCAACAGATCTTTAACCACTGAGGACGTTAATTAGAATGCCTTCATGGAAACACCTCCAGTAACTCGGTGAAATAACTAGCAAACTCGCCTGTAAAACTAGTCTTCATAGTCATTGAACCAACCCCGTTCTAACACCGCTGGAGGCTGGATTTCCCTTCATAGAGTTCATCCTAAGCAAAGCAAGTTTACTGAATTCACAAGCAAGTAGGAGAATCAGGCTCTCTCTTCTAGTTATCAGATGCTACTAAACGGATTTTCTTTTTTAATTCTTACCCAGGTTTTGTTTTGGAAAGCATGCGTGTATGGCTGAAAAGTCATCTCCTTATAATTTTAAGCCGCTAATACAGTAAATATAAATGGATCTAATCTAAATGGATCTAATCTACATAAACAATAGCTGATTGGGCTTCTAAACAATTTTGGAGAATGTAAAGGAACTCTGATTGCAAATGGTGTCTAGACCATTATCCTATACAAATGGAATGATTATATCTAACCAGCTCATTACTTCTTCCTGCATCGGACATAAATCATTGTAAATGTCTCCTGCTTCACAGCAAACATGGTCTGAAAACTTGCCCAAACATCGTAAATATCAAAATGAATCCTTCTTCCCTCAGATGTTGATTTGAACAAATTATCGAAGACTCTCAAGCTCTTTTTTTTCCTAATGACTTCATCTGATTCTGTAAAAGACTTGTTTGAATTTTGATTATCAGTATTTTCAACTTCAGTATTTTTCTGAGAGAACTCTTTATGTAGACTTCAGTAAGTTCTTCCTGTCCGTTGATTTACACAGTGGTCAAAGAATATATTTTTTTCTTGGTTGTGGGGCTTGAACTCAGGGCCTGGGCACTGTTCTTGAGCTTTGTTGCTTAAGGCTAGCGCTCTACCACTTTGAGCCACAGCTTCACTTCTGGTTTTTGAGTAGTTAATTGAAGATAAGAGTCGCACAGGGACTTCTTTGCCCAGGCTGGCTTCAAACCACGATCCTCGGATCTCAGCTTCCTGAGTAGCTGGGATTACGGGTGTGAGCCACCGGCACCTGGCTTATTTTTGAAACATTTTTATTCACACTTTACATTTTTTTTTAAAAATGAGCAAGCTGATGAAATTCACAAAATTGGGGAATTGTGGTAGCTCTGTACCCCAAAGAGAGAAAAAGAAACATCAATTTCTTCTTAGCTATTTGGTCACCTTTTAAGTAACTGGGGGGCAAAAAAAAAAAAAAAAACAGACACAAAAACAAAAGAAAGTTATAGAAAAACCAAAATTGTGACTACAACAAAAATGATCAAAAGATGGTACAAAACCGAGTCGATGAAAATTAATCAACAAAATTGCATGACGTAATCTGAAACATGTTATAATTAGTGTAGTGTCATCCTCATGAATCGAAAGGAGTCAGTTAAGGATGGAACTCAGGGCCTCGGGCCAACTCGGCTGCTGCTCTACCACGGTTACTTCACACTTCCTGCCTGTGTGGACTGCACTGCCCCTATCCTAATGCTTACTACGCATCCGGGATGATTAGAAGGCACTCCCATGCCCAGCTCCTTCTGTTTAGATGGAGTTTCACAGATGTTTTGGTCCAGGCTATCCAGGAATCAAAATGTACCCAAACTCAGCCTTGTAGACAGCACGAGTACAGGTATAAGCCACTGTACCAGCTCCAAATTCCTTTTTAAAAAAAATCAAATCAAGCCAGGCGCCGGTGGCTCACACCTATAATCCTAGCTACTCAGGAGGCTGAGATCTGAGGATCGCAGTTCCAAGCCAATAAAGGCAGGAAAGTCTGTGAGACTCTTTGTCTCCAAGAAACTACTCAGAAAAATCCAGAAGTGGTTCAAGTGGTAGAACACTAGCTTTGACCACAGAGAGGCTCAGGGACAGCACCCAGGCCCTGAGTTCAAGACCCAGGACCGGAAAAAAAAAAAAGTTACTGTCCAGAAAAAAATAAAATTATATTCTAGACTCTTCCAGTTACTTGGTGAACTTCACTTTGGGCTTGTGTCTTACAGCTGTTCAGATTTTAAATACTGTCAATACCGTTTTCCACTCGCAAAATTCCCTCACATATTTCTTCCCTGTAGTCTGAAAAGATCCGTAAGTATATATAAATTCGCAATTCCCCTAGCAACCAAGAGAGATCCTAAGTGGAAAACTGGATGATGTTAGATGTTATATGCCTTTCTTTCCACCTCTCTTGACTCCCAAACTTGGCCTTTTGCGTCCCTGCAGATAGGCCCATTGTATTTTCTACTCATCTCTTTATTTATGGACCCACCAATAACTAGCCATTCCTCCAGCTGCTGCATGACACTTACCTACCCCAATTAGCTGAGTTACAAGAAACTCAGTGAAAGGTTTACAAGGAAATCGAAACTATCCATAAACTCATGAATAACCCTGGTGGGTTTTTTTTTCATATACTGGAAGTACCCACACAATCAGTAAGTATGATATATTGCTCCCACGTTTCTTATTTTGTATAATGAAACAGCAATCAATAAGAACTATGAGTCCTTGCTGAATGAGCCTTCTGGAACCTTGGGAGCAAATTCATCACCAGCCTGAATGTTTTTTTCTCTCATAAGTATCCTTGAGGCCCGGTACTGGCTCATACTCCAGCCCCCACCACGAGAACTTCAAGGTTATAATTGTCTCCTGTTCACTTATATGCGTCGCAAAGAGACAAAAGTATCTTTGCAGCGTGAGGAGAGAAGAAAATCACGGCTGCCTTTCGAGCTTGCTGTCCCGTTGACTGCTAGAAAGTTGAAATGAATGTGAGCACCACATTGAACAGTGACGCCCTGTGCTAGCCGAGAACACTGACTCTACTGTTCACACCCACAAGCTGGGCTAGTCCCTGCGACCATTCCCGGGCCTCTCCTTTTGCCTTTTCTTTTGTTAGTTCTTTCTTTCCCTGAGGCTCCTCTGTGGGTTTTGGAGTGGCTGTTAGCTGAAGGCCTCACCTTGGCATAATCAGAGAAATGGGAAATGCCGTAGGATAAAGAAACACGCAAGCCACACTCGAGGGGAAACGGAGCCTCTCTTAAGGGTCTGTTTGCTGTGGCTTCTCATGGAGCCTGTTCCGAGGAGTCAGCAGCTCTGCTGAGGTAAGTAAAAGCATCCTGGCTCTGCTGGTGCCTTGGGGACAGAGTCAAATGAATCGCTCGATCATCGACTGGAAGTTCTGAATCAGGCCTAGGAGGTAACTGCTTTTGCATTTGAAATTGCGTTTGATTTGCCAGGCATGAGGTGCTTGCTCCTTCTCTGACAGACTATTGTATTTTCTTTCCGTGGGTTTCGTGATAGGCTGAGGGCAAATGCTACTTGCATCTGTAACAGAGTTTGAAGGTAGCGTGGACCAGGACGCATTCTGTGATATACAAGAGAGCCTGCGTTTCGGCATGCAGTCTGAGGAAGTGGATGGATTTGGTACAGAAAGGAGCAGATGGGGTTGACATCATTTCTATAATCCACTATGCTGTATGAGGACTCATGTTTGGGAAATGCCTGGCACATCCCTCAGAATACGTAGACACTTGCTACATGCTGAATTCCTTCCTGCATTATCTTGAAGCTGGTTGATTGTGTAACTTGAACATACCACTCGCATCTGGCCTGCAGAGTTCTCATGTAGAAGGTGACAGCAAAGAAAACTTGGTGATCCAAAAGATACCCTGGAGTTCTTTTTATGTGTGTCGGTAGCGAGGCTGGAACTCAGGGCCTTAGACACTGTCCTTAGCTGCTTCGCTCAAGGCTGGTGCTCTTCCAGTTGAGCCACTGCTCCACTTGTGGGATTTTCATGGTTAATTGGAAACAAGACTCTCATGGGCTTTCCTTCCCGGACTGGCTTCAAACTACGACCCTCAGATCTTGGCCTCCTAAGTAGCCAGGATGACAGGTGTGGGCCCACCAGCAAGTGTCTAGTTCTCAACTAAAATGTATTTCTGTGTGCATAGTGTGCCTGACTGTGTGTATACTAACACAGTAGGTTCTCCATCTCCTGCCTTTCTACCTGTCTGGTTGTGACATAAGCAGCTTTCTTCCCCTGACATGACACTTGAGGACTGGGGAATAATCTTGCAAGTGGACGGCTGTGTGGGGAACACAGAAAGCGCCACATGAGGGATGTGATAGTGGCGTGGGTTTTAGAGCGCCGAGGTGATTTCATTGCGCTTTTATTATCATCTGTCAACCGTAAAGCAACACAAAGACCGGGAAATGGATGGTCTCCGCACTTCCTGAGGACCGCGGTTTCCAGGAGTCGGTGTAAATATATTCAGAGAGACTTGTTCCTACTCAATAACCCGCGTTTTTCCCTCCGAATTGCTGATGCGTTTGCTTAGCGTGCCTGAAAGGCAGTTTGTCCTTTGCTGTCGAGTGAACTTGATAGAATAAAGAGAAGAAGCTGAAAAGTTCAATCATATCTTGTTGCTCCTCAGAGGAATTCCTTGACTATTTATTCTATTGAAGGAGGGACACAGAATGTGATGTTTCTTTGGGCTTTTACAGAATATCAACCAGATGTCAGGGAGCTGGCTCTGGTGGACAGAAGCCAGTCCTAGCTGTAGTCTAGTGCCTTCCAGTACTTCCAGTACCAGCCAGTACCTTCCAGGGGACAGTAATGACTGGGGTTGGGCCTTGTTTAGAGGTGGAAAACAATTCGTGTTATAAACATACTAGAGCATGGTAGTCAATGCCTTTAATCCCACTCAAAAGGCAGAGATCAAGAGGATCATAGTTCACAACTAGCCTAGATAGAAAGTGAAAAAAACCTCATCTCAACCAACAACAGCACTTAGTGGGTGGTACTTCTACAACCCCTGCTATGTGGATAATGGCATAAGGCCAGCCAAGCCCCAAAAAATGGGGGCGGGGCCAGAATTCTACCCGAATTGAAGCAAAAATTGAAGCCAAGCAATTGAAGCCAAAAAGGGATGGAGGGCAAGGCTCAGGTGGTAGAGCATCTGCCTAGCAAGTACAAGATCCTGAGTTTAAAGAGTTTAAACCTTAGGACTCGTGTGTGTGTGTGTGTGTGTGTGTGTGTGTGTGTGTGATGTCTATATGTATGCACATATAGACATGGAAACTGACCCTGATGTAACTAGCAGGAAGAGAAAAAGTCAGAATTAAAACCCAGGACGTCTGGTTCCAGCAGCTTCTTCTTTTTTTTTTCTTTTTTTTTTCTTTGGTTGATCGTGGGACTTGAACTCTGGGCCTAGGCGCTGTCCCTCAGCTCTTCAGCTCAAGGCTAGCGCTCTACCACTTGAGCCACAGCACCACTTCTGGCTTTTTCTGCCTATGTGGTGCTGAGGAATTGAACCCAGGGCCTCATGCATGCAGGGCAAGCACTCTACCACTGAGCCACCTTCCCAGCCCCAGCTGCTGCTTCTTTAAGACTCAGAAATGCTTAACGTGAATGGAATCAAATGAAACCATAGGTACTAGGCAATTTTTGCACAAAAACAACTATTTCACACAGCGCTGTCTAATACACATTGAGTACATATAACATTATCCACAGTGGCTGCTGCTAATAATCACAGTAATAATAACATGGACTTTATTCTTTTCTTGTTTTGTCTTTTCTTTTTTGGTACTAAGGGTAAAACCCAGCATGGTGTGCTTGGTAGACAAGCGCTTTGCTCCTGCGCTACATCCCAACCCATGACCTCATGCTTGACTCTCACTGCTAATACAAGGAATGCAGATGGTATAATAATGTAAAACCTTAGCTTGAGCATCAGGACCTGAGGAGCCCTAGGTCTGAGTTTCCTCGCTTACAAAACAAAGAGATCAATTTTTGTCAGCTTAGTCCATGGGTATGTTTTTTTTGTTTTTTGTTTTTCGTTTTGCGTTTGTTTTGGTCCCATACATCTCGGACCACGCTCTTCTTGTAGCCTGAGTGATGAATTTACAGCGGTATCCTGCGCAGCTCACCGTGCAAGCCTGACAACACGGAGCACGGTGTACAGTCTGCTCACATGGAGTTTACTGATCCAGTGCTTGAATGCCATAGTAAACTGCTTCTCACTCGAAGCATCTGCTCCCAATTTCTGCACAGTTCATCATCTGACACGGGTTTGTGTCTGCACTTTGAGTGATGTTGGAGCTCTGTGAGATAGATAGGCAATAGACAGATAGAGAGACAGAGAAAGAAATGATAGGTAGTAGATATATAAAGAGTGAGCTAGAGATATAATAGACAATAGATGATAGATACATAGAGAGAGAGATAGATAATAGATTGCTAATAGTGATAGACAAATATATGAAGATAGATTGATAATAGTGATAGATTAATAGATAGATAGATAGATAAATAGATAGATAGATAGGTAGATAAATAGATAGATAGATAGATAGATAGATAGATAGATAGATAGATAGATAGATAGATAGATAGGTAGATAGATAGGTAGATAGATAGATAGATAGATAGATAGATAGATAGATAGATAGATAGATAGATAGATAGATAGATAGATAGATAGAATTGTAAAAAAGATCTAGAGGAGAGGAACTTAAAAGTTCCAACCACAAAGAAATAACCAAGAGAGGGCAAGGCTAAAGGACGTGACAGAGGCATGTAGTGAATTATCGCTGTATCTCCATTAATGTGTATAGCTATTACCTGTCACACAAAAATAATTCGTAAAATATGAATAGATGCAGAAGGCCAAAAAAATTTGGATAACGGCCCCTCCCTTCAAACTTCTCTGGGGCCTCCAATATCTTTATGGGTATCATGGGGGGGGGGGGGCACCAGCAATAAGTACAGGAATCTCTCCAGGGCAAGACTCCAGTAGGGAAAGGCTCATGGTGGGCGTACGGGTGGGGTGGGGGTGGGGAAGCAAACTCACAGCAGGGTTCTGCAGAGTTCAGGGGTAAAGGAGATGAGTGTTTAGTTGAACAATGGGAAAGCGGCGAGGACAGCTATTTGCATTCCCGCCTTCTTTGCTAAGGGTTATTAACTGGAGGAGGGAATGACTCCCAACAAATGGTATTTTAATGATGAGCATAAACATGTGTCACTTTGACTGTGATTTCACTGGGAATACGCACAACCTATCTTGGTAGATGGATCTTGATCGTCTATTTTAGAAGCTGAGGACCGGCTTGGAGACTGGAAGTGCTAACGTGGGTTTTCCTTTCGGAAATGATTCCCTTCAACAGCAAACATGGAGCAAGGTTTCCCTGGGTGACATTCGGCTCGGTACAGAGGGGACACAGGAGGAATGGCATGCACCCTGGACTGCAGACATTTCTGATCCTGTGAAGAATATTCCAGAAGCATCACAGGATAAGAGTAGTGTTGCATGAGTAAACCAGCCTTTCTCATCTTCACTGCAGTTGACCTTTCTTCTAAGTGCTTTTAGGATCTTTCTAATAACAAAAAGAAATTCCTGCCGGGTGTTGGTGGCTCAGGCCTGTAACCCTGGCTACTGGGACCTGAGGTTCCCAGTTCAAAGCCAGCCCAGGCGGGAAAGTCCCTGTGAGACTCTTATCTCCAATGAACCATCAGAAAACTGGAAGTGGTACTGTGGCTCAAAGTGGTAGAGCACTAGCCTTGAACTGAAGAGCTCAAGGACAGAGTCTAGGCCCTGAGTTCAAACCCCATGGCTGCCAAGAGAGAAGGAAAGAGACAGACAGACAGACAGAGACAGAGAATCCATAATGCCACAAGACACAATGAACTTAGATATCAAGATTGTCTGGATCTAGGATAGGACAATGAAGCAGATGCTGACAGCTCACGCCTGTCATCCTAACTACTCAAAGTGCTGAGATCTGAGGATCCTGGTTCCAAGCCAGCCCAGCAAAGAAATGTCTGTGAGACTCTTGCCTCCAATTAACCAGCAAAAAGGCCAAAACAGCGCTATGGCTCTAGTAAAAGAGTACGTCTCTACCACTAGACGCTGTCCCTTGAGCAGAAATGCTACAAGAGTGCCCAGGCCCTGAGTTCAAGCCCTAGGACTGGTATTAAGAAAAAAAAAGTCATAGAGACTCAATGTATTGTCACAGCAATGCATAAAGCTACCTGAGAAATGGTATTTAGCCTCTAGAAGGTTCGATTTTTGAGGATCACAGCCCAGGATTCTGTTTACCATGGAAGAAGCAAAGCCCTCAGAGAAGAGGCTTGCTCAAAGCTGAGGCCTCTGTTAGACAGACCCCGCAGACCTGTTTTCTTTGCTGACATGCTTCTCTCCCTGGAAATCAGGCCTTCTGCTTGACTGTCTTCTCCTAAGAGACATAGATGGGTATAAACATCTGTCAACGTTGCTGGCCAGCTTGCCAGAAACCCAAGGAAAATGCCAGCAGTTAGAAATCCATGTTTCATCACAAAATGTCATGAACTGCTTTCTACCCTCAGGAGCCAAGGTCTGGGGGTCAGCCTCTTCCCACCGGGCCAAGAGAGCAAAGACACAGCTTGGAATTCTGCTAGGAACCCCACTAATAAGCAACCTACCCTTTGTGTTGGGTACAGAGAGGCCAGATTAAAAACGAAAAAAAAAAAAATCATCTTTTCAACCATTAATTAAGCCCGCTCAGTTATTCATAAAATAATGAAAACCAGAAAACCAATATCCAGCCCTTATTCAGTCTGAAGCTCCCTTTCAGGGTTTGTTTTTGTTTTGTTTTTATTAAATTACTAGAGACAAGAATCTTTTCTTGAAACTAGATAGGAATCTTAAATAGGTTCACTTACTTCAAAAACAAAGAATTCCTCTTCTTGGAGATTTCCCAAGATGGCTTATTCAAAATGAAGAAAAAGACTTGTTGCACTAGACATACTTTTTCAAAGAAGAGCAGAAATTATGCAGGCACCTTAAATGTCAAACAGAGAAAAATCTGGTGTATTGAATCCGTTTCGAGAAGCTGATTATTAACAAAATTCTAATTAATAGCTGTAGAGCTCGTGGAAGATGATTTAGCATAATGAATCTTCACTTCTGACGGTGTGGCTGATTGCAAAGACCAAGTCTTGCAAGGCAATCTATTACATATTCTGAAAGTCACAAGTAAAAAATATATAGTGCCTATCCTCTTACAAGTATGCTTAAGTGCTCAAGGAGGTTTATTTAAAAGGCTGGGAAGGCAGCTCAGAGGTAGAGTGCTTGCTTTGCTTGTATAAGGCCCTGGGTTTGATTCCTTAGCACCACATAAGCAGAAAAGGCTGGAAATGGTGCTGTGGCTCAAGTGGTAGAGTACTAGCCTTGAGCTCAAGTGCTGAGGGACAGCGCCCAGGCCCAGAGTTCAGGCCTCACAACCGACAAAAAATAAATAAAAGGAGAAAAAAAAAAGTTAAAAGCAAAAGAGGGACAGAAAACAAAAGAGCAATTGGAATCTTAAGGTCCAAGAAACGTGTTATCCTTGCATTAATATAAATTTCTGATTCCATAACTTAAAATTTTGATTTTGAAACACCCACAAACCAAGATTCTGGGCTGCAACTATTTGAAGAATTTTAAAATAAGTCATCGACATAAAGCCAGCAACTTCAAATGACTACAACTTCAGAACAACTAGAATTTGAAAAGAGTTCCCCACAGATAAAAGACACCAACCTGCCCTAGAACTTCACAGACTGTCTGTGTCTACTTCTCTTTCAAGTTTGACATTTCATGCCATCTACTTGAACCAGGAAATGTGTGCTATTTTAAATATGTTTCAGAATTTAGTTTTCAATGGATGCCATTTTTATGTATTGAAACCATCCAGAGATCAGCAAATCACAACCCAAAGCTGAATGCGGCCAGCAGAGCTGGGCTGCCTGGTGATTCCCAGACAGAGACACTGGGCTAGGTAGGATTAAAGTCTCAGGAAAGCCAGAATAACAAGATCAGATTCCTGAGCAGCGCCTGAGCCTCAGCTTTCCCTCCATAGTAATTGGGGATGAACTCAGGACTTCATACTTACTAGACAAGTGTTCTACTAAAGCTACATCCCAGCCTTCCTTGCTTTTTTTTTTTTTTCAGATAGATTCTCGTCTCATCTTGAACTGTAATCCTCCTGTTTCTGCTTTTCCAGTAGCTAGGACTACAGATGAACACTCTCCTACCTGACGATTATTTTTAAGATAAAGTCTTGCCGACTTTTGCCTAGGCCAGTCTTATACCCTAATCCTATCTCGGTATCCTTTAGTAGTTGGAATTACAGGCATGTGCCAACACACCCACACAATGTATTCTTTACACCTTCTTGGATATCTTCACTCCTTTTTAATAATCTCTTGCTGCACCTCACCTTCAAACAGAGCCTACTGACCCTCAGCTCTAATGTAAAAATTATATATTTTGAATAGATAATGTAAGGATGTGGCAAAGTTCAAAAGACCAAAAGAAATGATATTTAGAGCAAACATTAATTCTCCCTTCTTCAAATAGCTTGCTTACCAGACGTAGCCACAATTGCTGGCCAGACCCTCGCGTCTGTAAACATACGTGGAGAATTTCTTTTTCTTTTTTTGGTTTTATTGTACTGTTTGTGGGTCTTTTTCTTTTTCTCCTGTTCCTCCTTTTGTTGCTGTTTTTGATTTCTGTACCTTTTGTCTTGTATGTAAGTTGATCTGATTTGGGGAAGCTCAGAAATGGTTGGGACAAAGGGTGAACTAATTCAGCCGTGATGCTCACTAGTCACTACGTTGGAAATGAACTTTACAACTTGTGGCGGAGGGGAGAGGAGAGGGAGAAAACAAGGGAAGAGGTGACACTGTTCAAAAAGAAATGTACTCATTACCTGATTTATATAACTGTAACCCTTTTGCATATCACCTTCCTGACATACACAGAGACACGTGTGCATGGAGACACACACACACATACACATGAGCTCACAAGCATGCACACACCGATTGCCTCTGTTCTCTGGGGAATCTGGGTGGATGCACAACCCATCTCAAACCTGGAGCCATCTGCTCACACACATCTGCCAAATCCAGACAGAAGATCACATCGTTGGGGCTTCCCAGACTGCCACAGACGCTGTGCAAACACTCTCCGGTGCCTGATATTTCACTCTACCTGGCTCCTGGGCAGGCAGCAAAACAGGTTTTTGGCTCTGGTGTTTGTCGGTTGGTTCCAGGTGACTCTCCTGGGCAGGCACCACCAAATGAGCGTGGCCCCCGGGCAGTGCCGGGTGCCTGTCCAAACCACGCGTCGCCAGTGCTGCAGGAACTCTGGTTCACTTTGAAAGTGAGCAGACAGCTCCAACCCCCAGGAAGGAGCTCCATGGCTTAAGACGTACTTAATGTAGATTTCACAAGACTGTTAAATTTAACAAGACGCTGTTAAATACCAGCAATGGTTTCATGTGGAGATGTTGAACTGCCACCTAGAAGGCATATGTTCGTATTCATTAATTACAGCGTTATTTTAATCACCCACATTATAAAAGTCCATATTTCCTATCCAGCTTGAATGTTAAATACATAGAGCCTAAATGTAGTATGTCAACAGTGATATATATATACATATATATATATATATATATATACATATATATATATATATATATAATCTTTAAGATCACTTTCTTCCTCTCCAAAGGAGAATAAAACTTGCAAATTCCAGACCTGCAAATTCTAGTTTTCAAACTCTAGTCTAATGCTCAAGAGCCTGGATGGGGTCTTTGCATCAAGATGAATCCAGGCCTCCTACATGTGTCTTCATTTGGAAAATACCAGTCCTAATGCTCACTCACATTAAGACGTGGAAGGAAGGGCTTGCTCCAGGACTGCCCACAATTGAACTCTAGTTTGTTCACTGGGCAAACATTCATAAAGCGCTCTTTATGCACCACAGCACAATACGACATCTCATGCTCTTACCATATACAAACACGTATGTAATTGATACTGGCCTAACGTTACAAAGGAGAGGCGCAGATTCTTATGGGATGTGTACTTACATTATGATGGGATGTGTACTTATATTATTATACAATGTCTGCTTATATGGTTATGGGGTTTGTACTTAGAAAAGATCTCTTTCAGAAGTGGCGCTGTGGCTCAAGTGGTACAGTGCTCACCTTGAGCCCCACAACCAACCAGAAAAAAAAAAGATCTCCTTCTTGTTAGGTGTTTCGATGGATGTAAGACCTGCTCGTCTTTGTGCAGGTGCAGAACTTGAACTTTTTGTTGTTGTTGTTATTTAGCTTCTGTCCGATTTTGTTACAAATTCGGGCTTTTGAAATCAAGAGGCCACGGGAGTGTGATGGGATCTACCACGATCTCAGCCTCCCCCTGAGTCCTGCATGGACAGAATTAAAAGACACCTTCGCGTTGATTAGCAGCCTCAGGCATACACAAGGTGCTCGGCAAACATTAATTAATAAATAAGGAGATGCTCAATAAGCGTTTGTGAAATGAATAAAACAGGAGTGATGGGGGAAGGATCAGAAGACCTTTCCAGTCCCTCGGATTATCCGGTCTTTTTCTCTGTATCATGACAGTTGAGTTCCAGGGTTGGGCCCCAGAGTAAAAAACGATCCAACCGTTCACGAGCTATGAGAGCTACAACAAGCAGCGCCTTCCTGTGCATCTGTTTACCACTCTGGTTGGTGGGGATTAAGTCAGATCACACCAGCACAGGTCCTGGCACATGGTGGTCCTGGCGGCCATGTTGACTGAGGTCATGGTAGCTGGCAGGTGGTTGTGTGTTGTTGAGTTCCTATAACACAACACAACAGCTACAACACCTTCCTTCTACAGAAGAGAATAAGTGAGCTTTGTGGAGCTAAGCTTCTGCAGCCGTCAACCCCGGGCCCCGATAGGCCCTCCCCTTCGAGCAGGTGCACTTGCCATGGAGGAAAGGGGTAAGGGGGAGGCATGTGTGCGGGGTGGGGGGGAGCTGCAAGTAAGTCCTGCATTTTCTCAGCAGTTAAGATAGCACACGGATGACCCCCGATTGTTTAGTCTCCTGCCATTTGGGGGAAAGGAAGTGGAGTTTACTGAATTGTGGACCCAACAGAGAGGGCTATGAGAAGCCAGGCAGACGCTGAGCACGCCGGAGGCTGCAGCCATTTGCTGTTGGCACCGGGCAGGCCTAGGGGAGGAAGGACACAAAGGCTGTGAGCAGAGGCGGGGCTTCTGGTGGGAACTTAGCCGTTCCCTTGGCTTTGGGTGTTGGTCCTGTCTGGGCACTGGTGGGGGGGATGGGGGAGAGGAGCTAGGACTTTTTGTTTGTTGTAGGAATGATCATCCATGTATTTATCTATTATTGGATATTTAGCAATATCTCTGGCCTTGCCCTATTTGTGATGATAATTAAAACTGCATCTAGATATTGTCAGCTACCTTTTTGGTATCCCGGCTGGGAGCTGTGCATATGTTTAGCAAATGGTTTGTGCAAGGAAGTGAGCGACAAGATTGGCGTGGCGGAAATCCCTCCGTCTCCACCGACAGAGCTTGGGGATCCTTGGGGACCCCGCCACCAGATGTAAACTTCATCTCCACTCTCGTATGTGCCCTGATCCAACAACTATCTCTGCGTTAGATCCCCTGTCAGGTATTTCCATAGACCAGGTGGATAAAACTCCAGAATCTCCCATGTATCTGGGAAGGGTCGGGTGGATTGCATGTCTCCTGATGAAAAGCAAGACCCGAACTTGAGATCCACATTCGGAGTCTTCTTGATTCGCTGAACTTGGGATACGTGTGGACCAGAGGGCTCATTCCCAGGCATCCATTAAAATCAGTACTTTATCTCTTTCCTTCCCTAGACCAGTGCAGCTGGATGCAAAAATTGAATCTTTGAGGTGTTTTGTGCTATGCAGGACTATATTCTTTGGGTCCTGAGGCGATCTTGGCACCTTTATTATTTCCATTTTTCTAGGTGGGGACACGGAGAGTTTAAGGGGGTCTCAAAAGTCACTTCTCCGGGAAGCTGTAGAGCCAGGATTGAACCCCCATGTATGGAATGAATGCCCACGCTGGCATGGTACGGTCGCATAGCGTGGACGTGAAGTTCCAATCACCATTCGGCTGCGACTCTCAACACATGACCTCTGTTTTTCCTTATCGTCACCCCCATGGCCGGCTTTCCTTCTTAAATGAGACAGCGCCGATGGAATTTGGTTGACTGCTTGTCAACATTCCTAGTGCTCCAACCCCAAAGTCCTTATTACAGCTGTCAACCAACCAGTGAGGCTCAAATTCCAAAACAGAAAAAGCGTGTGTGTGTGTGTGTGTGTGTGTGTGTGTGTGTGTGTGTGTGTGTGTGTGCACACGTGCGCGTGCATGTGTCCTCTTAAACAGATGATTTAAATCTACCAATGGGTGAGTACCTTCTGAGAAGCAAGGAGGGAAATGACATCTCCAGCTGAGACCTCCAAACTGTACCCCGGCTGCACCAAAGCTCTGCTCTTGAGACCCTTCTGCCCTATTTCCCCATCTGCCTGGTCTCCCCCGGACACCCTCCGCCAGCCCGGCCAGGTGTGTTTTCCTCCGATCTTTCACTGCCAGCACTCACGAATGGCTTCATTTGGACTCTAATCAGGCACCTGAATCCCAGTCATCCATCGATTTTTTTTTTTTTTTCTTTTTGGCCTCATGCTGGAAATCTCAGTTGTGCATCAGACGGAGCACGCTTTCCACTCCGCTGCGTAAGCTCCTTGCCCAGCTGTGTCAGCAAAGCAAAGGCCCGCATTGACTTATTGGGACTGCAGAGTGTGTCCTGAGGGGGAGGGGGAGAGAAGGAGGGAGGGGCAAGGGCCTGGGGAAGGCCAAGGTTGACACAGGGCACCACCCTGTCTCTGGAAGAAAAGGGAGGAGTCGAGTCAGAATGCCGAGGTAGATTCCTCCTGGCTGACACATTGAACTGGAGCTTGGGGAAACTTGACATGGTTCCTGGTGGACGTGGGTTCAACCAGTGGCCCATCTCCACGGAGCCTGCGCAGTCACGCTGTGAGGTGACAGGTGTCCCCCACCCCGGGCATCTCAGCCATGAGGAAGGATGCGGGGAAGGGTCTCACGGGATGACATGGACACACCTGGTAGAACTTTTGAAAACTGAAGGCTGGAGAAAAGTATCAACCCCTACTATAAACTACCGCCCCAGCCCCCTAGGACTGCCACAACAAACACCCGAATTTGAAGTCTATAAACCCAGGAAGATTTTTCCTTCCCCAGGGCCGTTTTCTCTCTGAAGGCTCCAGCCCCAGGAACTACAGAGCGGCCCGTGTCCTTGACCGTCCTTGGCATTGCTTTGTGGTCTTTCAAAGCCGCCTCTGTTTCTGTCTGCCTGCGTTCTTGCGTCCTTGTTTCTTTTCTCTCTGCCTCTGTGTGTTTGCTGTTAGAAAGACCCAGGTCTCTGCTCAGCCTGGGTGGCTCACGCTGTCATCCTCATTATTCAAGGGGGCAGAGATCGAGAATCAGTTTGAAGCTGGCCCAGGTAGACAAACTCAAGTGGTAGAGCGCCAGTTATGAGGGAAAATAACCAAGCCAGAGCAAGAGGCCCCGAGTTCCAGCCCCGGACCCTGGCTCCAAAAACAAGACACAGGTCTTTGATTGATGGTATGGCTGCCCTCATCCTATATGATCTCCTCTTAGCAAAGCACCTCTGCAAAGATGTTTCCCAGGAAGTCACAGTCTTGGGTTCTGAATTTTCCTGGATTTTAGGGGTACACGATGCCCCAGCTCCCCAGTGCACCAGATGGGTCTGATCCCTGCTGATTGCCCTGGGTTCACTAAACAAACCTTAGCTCCTTCCTACCTTGCTTAATCCCTTTCAACCTCCCAGGATTCTCCGCCTTTTCTCTCCCCTCACCCCAAGGCTACCTCCTTGATCTCCAAGGCTCAATTTAACTACCACTTCCTCAAACATACCTTCCTGCACCCACCCTATTCAGCTACCGGCCCCTTTATCTGTCCTGTCTCCACATTTGATTTTTTTTTCTCGTCTTAAGTGCCCTGTAGTCTCCTTTGCATACAGTTGTGCACTTGGGCATTTTCTGGGCTCACTAACGTTTGTACTCGTCTTCCAGAAGTGCCAATAACTTATTTCCTCCTCGTCTGTGTGGCAGTCACTTTATAATGGCCATGTCTTACATGATTCCTAAATGAATCATTATTTAGTAAAGAAACCTCTAAGTGCCGGTCCTAGGTGAAGCCAGGTTTTGTGTATTTGCAGGCGACACGGAGTGGATGAAACCGAAGCTTTGCCTGAGGTTCTACCCCTAAGAACTTAGACAGGAGGCAAGAACAAAGGGGATATAAATAACCCTAAAATCAGAACTCTTCAGGCCAGGCACAGACGGACTGGGGGAAAAACATGCCACAGAGCAAGCTGTGGAACCAAGCTGGCTGGCTCTCGGGGGACGGAGGGACACAGGTGGAGAGGAATGTGGAAAGTTGCTTTCAGGGCAGAAGAGAGCTGGTGTTGACCAAAACACTGAGAGTAATTGCACATGGCCATGGGCGCCCTCTGGGGTGCACATCTGTGGGCTGGATTTGGGGGGGGGGCCATGTAGAGCAGCGGGGAGGGGGAGTCCTGAGTCCAGCTGCTCCCCGGTGCGGGGAAGTCAGAGACACAACACTGCACATGAGGCCGCTGTCTCTGCTCCCCCTCGAGGCCTTGCAATTAAATGAGACCCCTGAGTCACACTCCCGGGGGAGGGGACTTTGGCTGCCCATCCCTGGGTGCTACAGAAGCCAGACGAGTTCTGTATACGCCATCTTATTTTCTGGGCTAGTGGCCTTCCTCTCTCCAGTTCCTACCTGTTGGAAGGTCTGTTGGAGATGCCTGGCAGAACTCAGTCCTGTCCTTCCTAGAGCGAATGGCATTCAACCGTTGACTCCAAGATACAGCCGGCCCCTGGCAACCACCTTTGAAACTTCCTTTGCTCCGATTCCTCCTTTGTGCGTGCAGGCGATCAGGATCAAGCTCAGTCAAGATTGTGCTTTTCCAGTCTTCTGTAGTGTGGAAATCTCCTGTAGCGTTTGGAAGAGATTTGGGGAGGGGGAGGGGGTGGTCAGGTAACACACACTTTGAGAAGGAATTTTTGTTAATGAGTTATCCTGAACAACTCTAGGAGAGAGAGAGAGAGAGAGAGAGAGAGAGAGAGAGAGAGAGAGAGAGAGAGAGTGTTAAGGACTTTTATGTAGATGCTTGGTAAGGACATACCATAGTGCAATGGCGGATGGATGGGTCACTCTTGAAATGGAAGGGGACGAGTTGTGTGCCACGTGGACCTCCACACGGACCATCAGGAGAGACTACTCCTCTTTTCATGCGTTCATCCGTTTATCCTTTGTCAGCTTGGAGGGTCTTCGGACCCTGGCTGGCCTCCCGACATATATCAGTGTCCTGCGCCATAGCAGGCATCCTCTAGCAAGCTGACAGACACGTTCTGGACAGATGGTGGAATGGAAAATCAGCATGATCTCTGGCAGCTCTGTAGGGATGTACTTACCTTTGTGTCCCAACTAGTCAGCACAGGGCCTTTCCCACCGTAGGTGCTCACTAAATGCTGGTCAGATGGAGAAGAAAAAGCATCCCGACCAATCACCACCCGGAATCAATGTCCTTCAGCGCAGGCTGTTGAGGGGAGTTATTGAGTTAGAGAATCGAGGACTTGACAGCCATTCTCTGGCCTCTCTCCCAGGGCCTTTTTAGAACAGGCAAGTTAATTATGGACCCAGATTAACAGTTTCTTTTTGGATACAGTCAAAGTAAAACCAGCAGGATGCAATTTAGCTCTTCCCTACTTTCCAAATAGCAGCAAATTTTCATACAAAACAAAGAGACACTTGAATTGCAAATTGCTTAGAGAATCAGCTAGCAACCCCAAAGGAAGAATATTTCGGCTACTTTCAAAGCCAGACTACTGCCCTTTCTGATCTAAACATGTAGTTAGGGGCCAGGGCAGTGGGGAGGGGAGGCTGGAGGGACTTCACAAAGGCCTAAGTGTCTTACTGCTTCAACCCTTGGCCAGGTGAAAGGAAGAACCATTCCTTAAAGTTCACTAGAGAGCTCCAGCATCTTCTCTGTTCAGAATATTTTCCTCTTCTCCTGATTATCTCAGAGCATCACCCTCTACTGATGGCAAGATTGTATACCCCAGGGGTGCGGGTAGTGACCATACTATATAAAGCAGGTGGTAAGGATGTGGGAATGTCCTTGCTGATGTAGGTGAAGGTCAGGATGAGACTCAGACCCCATCATTGATCTTGCAGGGATCCTGGACCAATGTTGACAGTCCTGAGAAGTCAGCAGTTCAGATTATCGATCAACATATTCTTCTTCGCTGTCACATCTGATGAATAGAAAAGCGATACCACCTACTGGCTGGAGCTGACAGAGGGGTCACCGGTCATAACTTGTGATCTAGAAACTTCCTTATTTGATAGATATGAAAACGGGTCAGTGGAAAGAAATAATTCATCAAAGATCGCACACAATGGCCAAATCATCCGGTGTCTTATCTTTTGCCCAATTGGTGCTTCCATTACAGTTCTTCTCCATCCACTGCCCACTACGGGACCTGGGTCAGTTTCCTTTTCACAAAAGCACTTACAGACCTATTTGTCTGGTTTCAGAAAAGAATTTCTATTTGGAGGCTACAGCAAAGATAAGGAAATGTACAACTGAATCTCACAATGGTGCCATTTGGTTGATGGAGATACCAGAGACCAGGGGTGGGCAGCCTGACCAGCCAGATGCAGGCTACCACTAGAAACAGCCACTGGAGGGCAAGGGGACAGCCCAGGGGGGGTACCCCCAAACAGATGGTAGGAACATTAGGGAAAGGGCTACAGTCGTGTCTGCATTAAACAGTCAGGCAGGTGGCAGACATGAGCAAGAGACCAGGTGGAACTCTAAGGAAACTGAGTCATTTGTTTCTTTTATTCTCATACTCTCATGACTCAGTTTCCCTACAGGGAATGTGCCAAAGGAAGTCACAGACCCGGCCTGAGAGATCGTTGATGGCACACATGAGGGTTTTTACATGAGGTCTAAAATTCACCTTTCAGCCATCATTTTCAGTGTTTAAATGTAGAGTTTGTTTGTTGTTGCTGCTCCTCCTCCTGCTGCAAAACTGGAATTCAGACACAGAACCTGATGCTTTGCCCATTGGCTGACGCTCTACCAACTGAGCCACGCCCCCAATCCCTCAATATAGTCGCTTAAAGAAAATATAAATCAAAACACAAGAAGAGGGAGGAGTTAGAATCGGGGCTCTGGCTGCCTTCTGGCAATATCTGCTGAATGACCTGCACTGAGGGCAGACGGGGCACTGGGCGGGTCAGTCAGTGAGCAGAGGGGGTTTTCTTGTGTTTAGTCTGATCAGAGGCCAGCTGAGAAAGGCTAACCTGAGGATGAGCAGGTCAGGGGTGAGATGGAAGAAATCAAGGCTGTCCATAGCTTTGGGGTTCCTGGGAGAGCGAGAAAGGGTACCAACCGGTTGCTGGCTACTGCGACTGAGCTGGTTAAAATACTACCAGTGATCTCCCTTCTGATCCTAGAGCTGATGTCTTCATTTTATTCACAGCAGAAACATTGAGTCAGAAAGGACAAGTATGCTTGTAACAGCAGAATAAAGTAGAAGGGACCCCCCACACACACACCCCTACACACATAAGGAGGGGGTCTGGGCCTCCCCCATGCTAACCTCTCTGTGGGCAAGGTAAGAATTGCGATCTCTGCCCTGTCTTCTTGTACAGATGAGGGTTTTCTTTTTTTAATGAGAAAAAACAGCCAACTAGACAGAGCCAAAACCAACCATAAAAGCAGAACAGCTAAATTCATTTAAGTAGAAAAGAAAGGTGGAGGGACATGTATAATTGGTTCATACTCCCGAAAACTAAAGTGTGCCAATCCCACCTGGAGATCCAAGGGCCTAACTCATCCCAGGGCAGGACGCCCCTCATTCATAACTGTGGCCTTCACCCTGGCGGACCCCCAAAGCTGTGTGTTCATCATCGTTCACCATGGCCAAGTGCAGGAGATCCGTAGCCTCTCTTCCTCTTTTCCACTTTCAATGTAAGTTTCACAGTCCTGAGCCAAGGGCTGTGGCCGTTCCTCAGCCACTAAGTGCAGCCAAGGTGGGATGCAGCAAAGGGCCGGATGGCGTCATGGTCCATGCAGGCATTTAGATTGGGTGCAGGGAATATGTCATGAGCATGCTCAGAACAACTCCCGGGAACGTGTCCGGCCCCGCCTGCTTTACATGGTAGTGGCTGGAATGAAAAGGGTAAAGAATGCTTAATTGTTTGCCTGATTACCAAAATGAGGTGGTATATTTCCTACGTTGCTTTTCCTTCCTGTGTCTTGCAGGCTTGCTTGGATAGGAAGATCAAGACTGGCTGCCGACACTCATTCCGATGAAAGCGAGGGTGTGAATGGTGAGTGGTTTGTATGATTACTCCTCGGTGCTTGGTTACAGATTCCTTTCTGGTGCCAAGATAAGCTTCATTAAACTAAAATTCTTTTCTCCAGACCATTAAACAAATACCAACTGAGTTCATGGATAAATGAGATGCCAAGTATTATGGCAGAGAGTGAGAGGGAAAAAAAAAACTATATACAGATTTAAGATGTGTTGATGTGTTTGGGACTACTGTGAGTATGGAGCATGTGGTTAAATAATAATTTTGAGGTTGTTTGCCCTCACACAGGAAGTGTTAAGGTAGGGCAGGGCTGTCAATGGAGTAAGTGTATGACGTTGGCTCTGACATCTCCAGAAGAAATGTCTTTCTCACTTCTCGGCTTTTATCGATCTTTCCAGAAAACTTGCACTCAAGTCATCTTCCAGAATGTGTCACAATACCTTTGTGACAAAGTGTACAGGACTAACACCATTGGAGGAGGAGACTAGTCATGGGCTTCCTGAAGCAGATGATTTCATAGAAGATAGTGGATGTGTGGCCCAAACTAAGGTCTTGCTAGAAAGAAGGAGATAGAGAAGGTGAATGTTTGTTGCAAAGGCCATTCTTGCTTTAAGACAAATCTTGTTCCGGTGACCAAGTTCTAAGATCTTGTACGTTCACTCAGTACTGAAAAAGCAGGCACCCAGCCTTGGCTCACTTCCCTTTAGTCATGAGAAACATTAAAAAAAAAAAAAACTTGGAAATTCTCTTGACTCTGGATATAAAACCCAAGGCATTATCGTTAATACCATATGCAGTCTGTTTCTCCAATTTACATAATTATAAACTCCCCCTCCAAGAGTAAACATCTCTGCCAACTTTTCAAAAAAACTACAAAGCAGTATTAAATATGCATTGTTAATTTGACTTTCTAATTTGTCTTGGTTCTTCACAAAGATAGGCATAACTCCACAGATACTGAGTACTTACTAAAAGCTTCCACCTGTCTGAAGAGAAGTCAACAGGAAAAGAAAATCTAAATGCTGGGTTTTGATAGCTCAAGAATTTGAGTTGCTGCCAGAAAACTACCTATAGGAGTTCACTTCATTTACACGATGTTCACATTCGTTCCATGCACTGCTAGCTCAAGTCCAGGCAATTGCTTTCTGCATAGACCAAATAGAATAACATTTTCTTAAGATGCCTTTAATTTTAAGAGTCCATTGTGAACTGGACATATAGTGGGACAATTATAATAACTGATCTCTCTTAAAACCCTATAGAAATCTCTGCATTGGGCCCTGAAGCTCCCAGCTATAATATACATATGCTGCCTGAGGAAAGTGGAATATTAATTTAGGATGACATTCCTTGATTTTAGGTTTATCGGTTAGTTCCAGTAATTACTGGAATTTGAGATATTGATGTTCACACGCATAGAAGTCCTCCCAAAAGTTGCATTACGGATTATGTATATAAATGTCTGTACAGGCATCCATATTTAATGGAGATACACCATGTGTGTGCATAGGATGTGTCATAAGGTTTTGTTTGTGTGTATGTGTGAGGTTCTGGGATTGAACCCAGAGCATTGCACCTGCTAGGCAAGCACTTTGCTGCTGAGGTACAACCCAGCCCTGATGTGTCCTGAGGGAATCCTTTTATGTCAGGAGGAAGAAAATGAGGACGGAGTATATTAGTAACGATGAGAGGGCTGTGACTATGACAAGCAATTAGTCCGTGTGTGTTTCAACCACGTCTACCATCAGTTCTTTGTGTAGAGACTGTCGAAGGATTGTGGGCAGGACTGAGCTTTATTTGTAGTTGTTGCTCCTCAGCACCACATAGCAGATGCCTGCTGTAGTCACGTGACTACACCTGTATGTGTATGTGGGCGGTGAACATGGGATTGAATCTTGTAGACGGTCTTTCATGAAGGAACAGGAGTTGGAAGAAGTTCCAAACCAGTGATTTGATTCTCCTCCAACCTCCTTAACCCTCAGTATCTTTCCCTCTGTTAGGGCTTTCCATCCTCCCCAGTGGAAATGCATAGTTCTCCGATTCTAGTTTCTATGCCAGCAATATAAGGGAAAAGATGGTTCTGAATCAGGAAATCCTACGGAATGAGCAGATGGGAGCCTGTGGACATTATCTACCGTAATTCAGTCAAGTCCTAGAGCCCGATGTGCAAGCTGTTTTGCTGACTGACATTTGATCTGGTGTGGTTTTTTTTTTTTCTTTGCTAGCGTTTGACTTATTTTAACTCCACTTTCTCTAAACAAGAGGAGGTTCTATGGAACTGTGAAAATCAGTCAGGACAGACTCAGAAAAGTGACTTTATCCTGAATTCTGCCTATTTTACCCCATGCGGGGGAGCTGGGTGGGGGGTTCCTGTAGTGTTGTACTAGTTTGATTTGTTCCAAAACACACTGCAAAGAGAAGTTGATTTCCTCTTTCCACAAATGTGATGGATACACTCGCTTTTTCAATATCCATTTTCTGTCTGTAGAGCTCGGGGTTTTATCTAAGTTTCCTGACTCCTTGGCCTCTTCCCCAAAGAAGTGAGAAAACCATTTTCAAACTTTCTTCCTCATTTGACCTCCTCCACCCCCATCAAAAACCAACACCACCTGAGCTTCCTTGACTTAGAGCAGCATGGACCAAGAAACCATTCACACATCCCCAACTGCCTCCCCACCACAAGACAGAAGTGAAATTGCTATTGGCAACTCAAGGTGAGGACCAGAGATCAATACCAGCCATTTTTCCAGGCAGGCCCTGGTAATTGAGGGAGAATATACATTTTCTTAAGGTCCTCAGGTCTTACACAAGCAGGTTATGGTTCTAAAGGACCATCTCCTGAGATCCATTTAACCTATCCTTTTTCTATTTTCCAACTATGTCTCCACTTCAACTCATGCAATGGAGCAGGTGGCCAAGTAAAGAATGAGTACATAAGAAGGAATTATTTCAATAGCATTAGGCACCAAAGATTCATTTATCCCATCATTTTATGATCTGCCCTTTCTGTACAGTGCCCATTTTGAATGAATTAGGGAACAGAGGGGAAGCTGATGGGCAGCAGTGAGTTCTCGGGGGAGGGAACCATTCTTTTTAAATAATAAACATAACCTTCGAATCAGTAGGCCAGGTGTTCTTTGCCTCGTGTGTGACTGTGGTGGGTACGGGATGTTTGGTCTGGGGTCTCCATCCCAGGATTTCTCACCAGGCCCTAATCACAGTTTTGGGCAGAGGCTGCATTCTTATTCGAAAGCTTGCCTGGGGATGGGCCCATTCCAAGCTTCCTCTCCCGGCCGGTGGTCCCGTAGATTTGCACAGAGGGTCTCAGCATCTCGCTGCTTTGATAATTCTTCACAAGCAGCCCTTTCTGTTTGAGCCGGCATGCAGGTAGCATGGGCCAAGACATTAGCAAGAGGGAAGCCACTCATAATCAGAGACGTGATATCCCATCCGTTTTGCACAATGTGTTTGCTAGACAGCCATGGTGAGGCCTAGATGATGGACAGACACTCTCATCCTGCTCCTGACAGGTGAGGGACGCTGGGACAGAAAGGCGAAAGTCACTTACAAAAGGTAGCACAGCTAATAAGGGCAGAGCTGGGATATAGACACGGCTCCATCCTAACGTCAAAGCTAGGACGTGGCCACTCTTGCTTTTGTCTCTCGGGGATGATTCTACAGGAAAGTCCATGTGCAAAATCGTTCAGAATTCATCTTGACTCTGTGGGTAAGACATCCAGCAAGTAGGTGGTAGGCTGTGATCGAACATCAGCAAAGCTTCCCTTGTGGACGGATGTGGCACAGGAAGGCAAGTTCTGTGATCAGCTTGCAGTGGATGGTCCCTGCCGGGCCTGGGAATCTCTCTCACTTTGAGTGGGAGTCGCCGTCTAGCTCAGAAGCCCCTCGGGGGCATTGGGTGTGCTTAATGGAGACTCTCGGAGCGAGCCAAACAGGTGAAAGTGGCTGTCAGCCTCTTTGAACGCTGTTCCTCCTGCTGTGAATGCTGGGAGAAATACCTAATGGATTGTGACAAGGATTCGTGGAGGGCCTTGAGGAAGGGTGCTTATTGCAGAGTGAGAGAATCTTTTCTCTGCGCCTTGGAGCTGTGAGCTTCCCTGTGGAGTGGGAGACACAATGTTTGATTTCAGACACAGGGGAGACCGCCGATCTGTTCAGATGCTGACTTCAGGAAAGGAACTGGACTTTGTAAGCAGCTATTTATTGCTGCGTTCCAATTATGTATGTGTATGTTTTAATTAAGTAATGCATGTGCATGGTGAAATGTTAAGAAGGCTTAAAGTGTTATCCAGTGAAAATTTAGCCTTCCACGGAGCCTATCTTCAAAGTCTGCACTCTGTTCCCCAAAATCAACCACAAATATTGCGTATCATTAAGTTTACATGGATACAAGTGCAATGTGACAGCCTCACACCCCCCCCCCATTATTTAACCTTAAACCGTTTACTATCTGGACCAGATGACCCCTCCCCCCAAGATCCCACCCATTTCTAGCATTGCCCAGCTGTGCCGTGTGCACTTGTATTACATGTCAGGCATAAGGTCTGGCCCGGGTGCCTGCCTTAAATTGGTTGCTTGGGTCAGAGCCTACCAGATGTGGCAAGCTCCCCCCCCCCCCCCCGCCCATTCCTGTTGCCTCCGGTTGGTTAACTAGGAGAATAATTAACAGCTGCTCAAGTGACATGCCTTCAGATGACGCATCGTGTCCTGGCGGGCGTGAAAAACGCACACACTGAGACCCAGACCCTGGGGATGAGCAGGATGAGCAGGATGCTGGCCTGGTAGATGGAAGTTTTCCCACATGTCACGTGAAAGAACTGTACACAATACTACTGATGGCTGTGTGTAGAAATGACAGCTTACAGCAGTCGCTACCTGAGAGATCCTGTTTTATCCCAGAGTTGGAGTGAGGCCTGAAGCCTGGTGAATAAGAAGAGCCTGGAGCCAGTCTAGCTGGGTTGAAACCCACCTGTGTCCCTCAGTAACTCTGTCCCCCT